AGCATCTGAAATGTGGTGAGTCTAAAATGATGTTCAAGATGTTCTGAAGTATAAAATACACACCAGGGGTGCCTGGGTGGCTCAGTGGGTTAAAGCCTCTGCTTTCAGCTCAGGTCATGATCTTGGGGTCCTGGGATCGAGCCCCGCATCAAGCTTTCTGCTCCGTGGGAAGCCTGCTCCTCCCTCCCTCTCTCTCTGCCTACCTGTGATCTCTGTTAAATAAATAAAAATCTTTAAAAAAAAATACACACCAGATTTCAAAGATATAGCACAAAACAAATGGTAAAAGTTATCATGAATATTTTATATATTGATTACATATTGAAATAGTAATATTTTGGATGTACTATATAAAAATAACACAATATAGTAATGTCACTTTTTTTTCATGCAGACTAAAAATTTTAAATTAAATATGTGACTTGCCTTTGTGGCCTGCATTATATTTTATTAGCACTGCTCTAGCAGACGCCAATTTTGTATACCTATTTAGCAGTTTTCACCCCAAAACAATGCAAATCAATTGCAAGTAAAGGTGCAAATGTTGCAAAAGATGCAGAAGCTAATTAAGCCACTGGAAGTGGTACTTAGCTCACATGTAAAGCCTGTTCAGTGTAAGATTCAACAGAGTTGAACCAGCAGACCACAAAGGAAGAGAAAACCAAAAGGGACGTCAATTCGAAGAAAGTAACTGAATATTATAGGAGGACCTTAGGGTAATGTATGAAGTCTTCAAATACTTTTTACAAAAATAATAGTCACAAATAAACCACAAAAGTCAAATGGAGAAAGAACACCTCAACATACTTCGAAAATGTTAATTAACATGACTCAAAGAATTCAAAGAATCAGTGCAGTTGTAAAGGTAGCAGAATTTTGCTAACTGTGAGAGAGATCAATTTCATAAGCTGTAGTTTTATTTTGAAGTAGAAAAGCCCAATTCATCTGTTTTTTTTATTTACTACAAAATTTAGTTTCTGATTTTAAGTACATGCAAATATATCCAAATATTTAGATGGCTGGTTAATAAAAATGAATCATAAATATGTGTATGTTTACATATCTTTATAAGATACACATATCTTAAATATCTTATTTTAGCCTAAAACATAAATAAAAGGGTTTTGTTTTGTATGGTTTGGGTTTTTTTAACCAGTATTTGGCTGTAGGACCTTGGTCTGCTGAGTGTGCATTTGCTATTTAGAGTTTCATGTATCATTGTCACATATCTCACTGTCTACATTTTTTTTTTTTAGTTTTTTAAAGCAAAGTGGGAACTGATAGATACTTGCTTTCCCAATCTTTTACAGTTATCCCATCCACAACTAATTTGATAGAGATTTAAGGATTTATTTATCTATTATTTGAGAAGGGCAAGGAAGAGGGTGAGGGAAAGAGAGAATCTCAAGCTGACATCCTGCTGAGTATGAATCCTGACCCCCGAGGGGCTTGATTTAATGACCCTGAGATCATGACCTGAGCCAAAATCAAGAGTTGGACACTTAACCAACTGAGCCACCCAGGTACCCAATAGAGACTTTCTTCAATGTCTCACCTTCTTTCGTTTTCCAAACTGAAACTTGAGTTTTCTTTGGAACAACATTCTTTTTGCAATCACACACCCTTGTTTTATTAATTTAATAGTGTTTAATTAAATTTTGTAAGGACAGTTATAATAGGTATAATCAGGTTTGGGAACAAGTAGGACAGATTTTCTTGGGGCCCACAATTCACCTGGAGGGAGAAGTTAACAGGAACCATGAGCATTCATTGTCCTCTGGCATCCCTCTGCATGTTGTACACCACACTGGGAATGTTGCTGGATGAGTCAGCTAAGTGAAGGCTGCTTAAGAAACTTTCTACTATAATGTCACCTACAGTGCCCTTGTAGGGGGATCAATTACCCCACAAATGACAAGATTTCCTGACCTAGAACATATAGAAGCACCTGGAAATATGGTGTCTGGAAAGTATGGAAAAACCAAATTCTAGCCCAACTCTCCTGCAAGTATTATATCTATCTATCTATCTATCTATCTATCTATCTAATAGAACACAAGCATTTGCTCCATTCTCCAGGTTACATTCCTACTCTTTGTCAACCTAAGACATAAAATCTTACAGACAAGCATGAAAACACACACACACACGAATCTGAAATCTTCAAAGAGTCAGCCTGATAAATACCTAATAAAAATATTTGCAGATAAGAATGTTTCATTTAATTTTGTAAATATGAAAAATAACAAACAATATCCCAGGGAAGAGGAAAAACCCTTGCATGAGCATAGTAGGTGCTAGGTGCTGAATAAATACATGATGAATGATGTGCAGTCTGAAATATTTCTGGTAGTGCATACTGAATCTGTTCATTTTAAGGTCAGCGATATTTATGCACAACCAAGAAATGCATCAGTATTAAGCTAGATCCTCCAAATGAATGTGTGTAGGAATTGAAATGTGACAATTCCCAGAAGCACTGTGTAGAAGCAGTGATCTGTAAAGCACTAGCATAAAGGTTAGTAAAGTTGTCATGGCATAAATGTAATCATTGCAATGCTTGTATCTAAGAAAGGATAGAACTAAAGAACTTGGGAATAGTAACTGGAATTTTCAGTGTACAAGCAATCTTTGAAAAGACACAAGTCTACTTTATGCCATTAAAGAAATCAAAGTAAGGCACTTCAAGATATGCATTTGAGCAGTAACATAAAGCAGGATCCAATAATAGCACCAAAACCAGTGCTAGAGTCCTAACCATGCTTAAGATGGAGAAACTACAGTAGCAATCCCACCAGTTAACTCCTCTTCAAAGGAGACTTTGGATAACATATGGCAGAGGAAGAACATCCTTTGCAGTCAAGCATGTCCTTTATTTCTCTATCCCTCAAAAAAAAAAAAATTCAATTTGTTAGTGTACAGATGCATAATGACAGCTGAATATTTATATAAAAGATCAAGGGCAAAATGACTTAAAGCATCAAAACTAGGCAAAAGATCAGTACTGGGGTTTCTCCATGGTGGTGTGGAGAACTGGGGACTAGTTGACAGTGTTGTATTTGGTACAAATAAGGAGTTTTGCTGGAATCCTGTTCTACTTTGCTATTATGGCCAAATTTCAAAATTGGAACAATCTTGAAAGGCTAAGGGCATCCACTTGCTTTTCTCCTTTACAGGTACCTGAGTATGTGTTTCGATCTAAATAGGAAAGAGGAAAGTTGACCCTTTTTAATTTAGGATTTGTTGGGTGTGGCACCCTGGAAGACCCAGGAGATAATTACTGTTTAGTTTAGATGATATACTTGGCAACCATTAAAATACTGTATAATTATAGCCTAAATGTAGACTTTAAATTTTAACAGATTTATCTAAACTTCAAAATTTGTACCGTTGAATGTAACTATCTTATGGCAGAAGCAGCAGTATTCAAAACATTGAGCTAATATAAAATCAGTAACATTTTAAAAATCCCTCGAATATCACCACCGTTTTCGGTTAACACTTATAGTCGGGAAGATTTTCTAGTTCCAAGAAGTCAAATGAATTACTTTGTAGACAGTACTGACTTAAAGTGTAATTCTAGGAACACTGACAAGATCGCGCTCTTTCTGTTCCTGAAGAACCCTCCCCCTCCCACCCACCCCCTTGTCTTAATTAACGTTTCACAAAATAAATCTAGGGATACAGGTCCCCGGTTGTGGGAGGTTTCCCCTCACGGACAAATCAGCTCGAGGAAAAGAAGGGAGGGGAGAAATAAACGCCACGCAGAAGCTCTACGTGTCATAAGAAAGGTCGAAAATCATTAACATGTAAATGGTGCTCTTTCACTCCCAGGGCTCCTTATCTCCGAGACCGCCCCAAAGACTAGAACGGTTCCGAACGCCGGGTTAGGCAACTCGGGGACTGCGGAGGAGGGCGGGGGGTGGGGGGGGGGCCGGAGGGAACCCAGACCGTGGCCCGACCCTGCCAGGAAGAGGGACGTGCCGCCAGAGGCATCGGATTCGGGGAGGGCCAAAACCTGGCCGAGAATGACATTATCGAGTACTTTCTGGCAGAGCCTAGGTTCCTTCCCCTAACAAGCTCTTTGTGGTACTGTATACTGCTGCCCTTCCCAAAAACAGCGGAGTCAAAAATAAAGATGTACAAGGACTTCCGCCCCTCCAAGTCTCTATATAGCGGGGGCGGAGAAGGAGGTGAGAGGGATATCCCAAATCGGTGACTTCAGCTTGTGAACAAGATATCCCAGGAAACTCTGAGGTGGTATTTGTAGCTCGCGTTGGGGGAGAGGAGGACAAGAGGAGAAAAGGTTTTTTGTTTTTTGGTTTTTTTTTTTCAACTTGGGGAGGGGGGTGCTCCGCGGCTGCACGTGTGCTAAATTTGGGTTTCTTTCGCTTTGCATCAGGCGACAACCCTGGGCGCCACCTGCGCCTCCCGCGCGGAGTGGGGGAGGAGGGTTAGCCCTTGCCCGGGTTCCCCGACGCCTACTGCAAAGGGCAGTGAGAATGACAGACCGCAAACCCTCTCGCTTGCATCCCCTTCAACGCACTACACACCTAAATTCGAACTGCAACTCTCGTTAGGCGACCTCCCGACGAGCCGGGCCGAGATTGCGGCGCAGAGGAAGCCGCACGCTGTTGTCGCCGTGACTCCTCCTCTCGCCGGTGCAACCCGGGACTACCTGGCGCCCAGCAAGTGCAGCAAGCAAAGCCCAGGGCGCCTTTGCGGCGGTTACGTCCCAGCCCATTTCGACGGCCCGTGCGCGACGCGGGGCGCACAGCATACTCCTTCCACCTGCTCCCCACCCCGCCCCACCATCTCCCCACCAACCCGGCCCAGCGGAACCCGGTGCGCCTGCCCGACGGTCCAGGCCAAGCCTCCGGCGGGCCCTGCTCACGCAGTTGGCGCAGGCGGCCCTACGCTAGCGGCGCAGTGCCCGCCGGTTTGCCCTCCCCCTGCACTCTCCCCGCCCCTTCCCTCCCTCGCAGGGGCCGAGCGAATGTAGCCCGCGAGAGAAAATGGCGGCGGCGGCGGGGAATCGCGCCTCGTCGTCGGGATTCCCGGGCGCCGGGGCGGCGAGCCCCGAGGCGGGCGGCGGCGGAGGGGCTCTCAAGGCGAGCAGCGCGCCCGCGGCAGCCGCGGGACTGCTGCGGGAGGCGGGCAGCGGGGGCCGCGAGCGGGCTGACTGGCGGCGGCGGCAGCTGCGCAAAGTGCGGAGTGTGGAGCTGGACCAGCTACCGGAGCCGCCGCTCTTCCTCGCCGCCTCGCCGTCGTCCTCTTCCACTTCCCCGTCGCCGGAGCCCTCGGACCCGGCGGCGGGCGGGAGTGGTTTCCAGCCTGTGGCGGTGCCGCAGCCTCACGGAGTCGCGAACCGTGGCAGCGCCCACCCTCTGGAGCCCGCGGCCGCCCAGGACAGCGGCGCCCCGAGCCCCGCCGGGGCCGAGCCCGGGGAGAAGCGGACGCCCGCCGCCGAGCCGCCTCCTGCAGCGGCCCCCGCCGGGTGAGTCGCGCGGCCGGGAACGCGGCGAGGACTTGGGTGGCGGGCGGGCGAGGGCAATGAATGAATCCCGGGCACCGCGCACTGCGTCCCGGGGCTCCGCGCAGCGAGGCTGCGCGCCGCTCGCCGGGATTCGAGCCCTCGGGCACCCCCTTTGACCCCTCCGGCGTCGAGCGGCGGCCCGGACCTGGCTTGGGGGACGGAACGGGGACCCGGGGCGGGGACGTGCCGGAGAGTTTGTTATTGTTTGCAGACATGTGACAGGCGTGCGAGCCGCGCTGCAGGGACCCGTGGAGATAAGGTGTGGGGCCCTGGGCTGGCTTTGTGGGGCTCCCGGAATCGGGACTCTCCGAAGTGACCCGGCTCGGGACCCTGGCGCTGCCCTCCGGACTGGGCCGGGGGGCGGGCAAGAGCCCAGCGGCGGCGCCCGGAGAAGAGAGTCCCGGGATTGCTGGGGGTGAGGCCCGAGCCTGCAAGCAGGCGGTGGTCAAAAAGGGGGCGGAGTGGGTGCGGAGCCCAGCCCTAGGCCGGGTGGGAGTGCTGGGGCGCGGAGAACGCCGCAAGGTATACCGGACCTTGACAGGCAGAGCCCCGAAGGCAGCACGACCGCAGGGCTCTCGGGGTGGAAGGCTCCGTAACGCCTGTCAAAGCGGTGTGGGCGGGTAGGCTGCAAACTCGGGGATTTGGAATATTTTAGGACTTGGGTTCTCTCACTGCGTCCCTCAAGGGGCTCCACATGTTCTTGGGAATGCGCACAGCGCCACTAAGACTTGAGTGACTTCTGTTTGGAGTTTGAATTTGGTCTTTGAAGTTTGCTTTTGGCGGAGTGGTGTAAGAGCCAGGACCGGATGTGTCAGCCATTCAGTTTCAAAGCAGTGGTGACTGCTCCCCGCAGCCTCTCCGGCGTGGCTGGGGACCGTGGCTGGGGTGCGGTGCTTCCTGCTCCGTGCAGCTAGCTGAGCAGACTACCCGCCGGCTGCGGGATTCCAGGGACCACAGTGCAGTGGGCTTCGGCTCAGAGAGTCCTACGTGCCTATGCATTACGGTACGTGTAAGGTAACAGACCAGCCGTTCTCGGCCTGACCCTTTTTTGGCAACTGGAAATCTTTATGTTAAAGGAAATTCTTTTAAGTGTGACAGTCGTAATCCTTCTTTTTAGGAAATCTGACTAGTGTTTGCACAGCATAGTCTTGATGAGTATTTTGAGTTGCTGGAAATGTTTTTCTGATAGTTAACCGTTTCCCTGTAGAGTTTCCTGACCTTTATTCTGGGTATTTTAAAGACTGTGTCTTATATTTGTTCCCCTTGTGAGACGACTTTGACAGTAGGAATCCTTGGTTTGGGTTAATTATCTAAAGTGCTTTGGCACTTTTTTGAGCTTAAATTTTTATTTATTTAAAACCACTGTTCATTTATTACCAGGAAGTTGCACCCCCCCCAAAAAAAAAAACCCTAAAAATTTTGGTCAACACTGCCATGGCAATCTTGAGAGGAAAGGAGATTTGTGGCTGTGATAATTTTGTGTGCACTTGTAAATATAACTTTGTGTAACAAGAGCTAGGTTTCTGTACACCTTCCTGCTTCTGTGAAGATTGGATTTAAAATCTCACTAGACTAATTCTTTGAAGACAGTTGGTACAACAAATGAGCTCCATATAAAAATATTAAACTTTAATTTTAGAAGTTAATTTTGTTCTTACGAGGGCATCTTTTTGAATACGGTAAATAACTTAGTGTCAGCATTCTAGTCCTTTTAATGAGCTATGAATATAGTAGAGGAGCGACCACTGTAAAAATAATTATAGAAGTTGTTTAGAGTTGCTTCCACACAAAATAAGAGGACTAAGATGGAGGCAGAATTCAGGAACTGAATAATCCATGTTTAATTTTTGCATGTTGTAAGGTAGGTGTTTTTGCCTTCTTTGTTGAAGGAGTGGATTGTATTGCAGTGTATGAAATAATGAGCTAATCAGCATAATCATTTTTAAAAAATGAATTTCACTAGCCAGAATGCTGTTTGTTCACCCCAAATGTAATACCTGCAGACTTCATTTATAGTAAAATGTTGATTTCCTCAATTTGAAAATACAGTGATTTTCCTTCCACTTCCTTGTCTGTGGAGTTGAAATTCATTTGCATCTATTGGTATAAACACTGACTAAAAAGAGTTCAGTGAACTTTATATTTTACTTTTTTGACAGTAGTTTTATTTGTACTTTTTTGAGGAAAATACGGCATCGAGATTTTGAAGTATTTTTGTGTTCCAGTAGCATGGGTCTGGAGTTCCTTCTGTCTAAAGACCTTTTGGATTTTTTAAAAGAGAATTCTGTGATTTTTAATTACAATTTCCTTCAGTTTTTTTGTTCTTTAGATGTAGAAACTGAAAATATGGAAAACATATTTGTGAAATATAAATTGTGTAAGTCATACTCATTAAAAATAAGATTTTCTGTCTGTCCCTCTCCTTTAGTGTAATAATTGAAATCAATGAAAGTTTTGTGCCTGTAAGTGGCGCCCAAGGGTTTGGAATTTTAACTTATATTATAGAATTAGGAACTTTTTTCCCTACCTATTATTTTTGAAGAAAAATTACAGTGTTGCTTTCCATTGAAAAGGCTGTTGTGTTTGGTAGATATAATTATTCTATCCTATTTTTGTAACTTAAAAAATCCCTAACTATCAATTTGCTGGCCCCATGAAAGAACAAGATATGCTGTACTTGTTAATGTTAGTTTTTGTTTAAAACTAAAACCATTTCATAGGCAGCTTTTATATCCTCATATAGCCTTCAGCTTTCACTTCCTTTTAGAAGCTGCTAGGTTAAAAATACAGTTTAGTGACTTTTTACTAGAGAAGATATAGGAACATTATTACCTAAAAATAAGTTGTAAAAAATTAAGTTGGTGATTTTATGAAACAATAGAAGTAGTTACATAAGTTAGGTTACATGAATTTGTAAGTTTTATAGTTATGAATTTTCTACAGATTCTATTTTAAATCAGGTAGGAACATTAATGCACTCTTTATTATATTTAACCTTATTAAATGTAATTCTGAAAGAAAAATATCAGAGCTATCGTTGTTGCCAACTTTTGTTTTCTTTTCATATCTGATTTTGGCAAGGGTGACTGGTTAACCAACATTCCTTAATGTATGATTTCCAATACACTATAATAACTCCATTTTGTTAGATACAAAAACCAGGAAGTAGCCCTGCTCATTGATACTCTTTCCCGTCTTCTGTAGCACCTCGAACATATGTGGCATGTCTTAAAAATGGTCATTGACTTACTGACTTGAAGATTTCAAAACATGTAAAGAAAGGAGTGTTCTTTGTTTTCAAGAGAGCAAAATAACCAGCTACAGCTTGCCTAGGCTGTCTGCTCATCAGTCTTTGACACTGTCTGTAAGCATTCCAGAAGAAGAAATAATGGGGTGGCAAAGCAGTTAATGGTGAATGGATTCCCCTGAGGGAAAATATGGAGCATTCAGAAGTACTCTGAGAAAGCACAGTTTTTGCATTTGTTACCCATTTTCTTGGGTTGAGTTAACTCTCTGTAAAGGAGGCAGTAGAAAACGGCATGGAAAAGTAATGGTCTCCAGAGGCTGCTGAAGAACTACACTATATTGCATATATTGCACCTCTGACCTGGAGAATACTGCTTGTATCAGATATACCAAGTATATTACTTAGACTTGGTTTTCCTCAGTCCTTGCCTCTTTTTATATTCCAAGTCAAAAGTTAGAGCTACTTAAAAATGTAAATGGATAGAAGATTAACATGAAGAAATGTGCAGTTTTAGGAACAGACCCAAGTTGTCATTAACAAAGAATTTAAGAACTTTTTTTTAAGATTTTATTTATTTATTTGACAGAGAGAGAGAGATCACAAGCAGGCAGAGAGGCAGGCAGAGAAAAAGGAGGGGGAAGCAGGCTGCCCGCTGAGCAGAGAGCCTGATGCAGGGCTGGATCCCAGGACCCAGAGATCATGACCTGAGCTGAAGGCAGAGGCTTAACCCACTGAGCCACCCAGGCGCCCCATTTTAAGAACATATTTAAACATGAAAGAAGTAATCAGGAACAGAGTTAAAGTAAATGTTGCAAAACAATGGGATTAGTTAGGTGCTCTTCTTATAGCAAGATTATAAAAGGATTTTAGCCCTGGCTAAAATATGTTCATTGAGTATACAGATATGTTTGGATTCCTTTTATGTAGTCACCTTTCTTGCCTTCTGCAGATTAGGCCAGTTATATGTAGTATCTCATTTCATTACCGCTACAGCCCTCCAAGGCCAATATTATAATTTCTGTTTTCTTTTCTTCTTCTTCTTCTTTTTTTTTTTTTTAAGATTTTATTTATTTGAAAGAGAGAGAGAGATCACAAGTAGGCAGAGAGGCAGGCAGAGAGAGATCACAATTAGGCAGAGAGGCAGGCAGAGAGAGAGAGGGGAGGAAGCAGGCTCCTTGCGGAGCAGAGAGTCTGACGCAGGGCTCCATCCCAGGACTCTGGGATCACGACCTGAGCCGAAGGCAGAAGCTTTAACCCACTGAGCCACCCAGGTGCCCCATAATTTCTGTTTTCAAGAGAGGGAAACTCATTGGTGATGCTAAAGCCCTGTGATCGCATAACTAGAAGACAGAACTATGTCTGACTCCATAGTTCATTTCTTTCTACCATCTGTGCTGGTTTTATTTTTCCAAATTAATAATTAAATTAATTGATAATTTTTTAGGAAGAATTTGCTCTGCAGGACTCATAATAAACATAAAAGATAGGTCTCTACCCAGTGCCATTGCCAATATATTTGTTCCTTTATATGTATATACTGCATAGCTTTCTATAACCTGGCCTCGTATGTGTAATACAAGTAAACTGTACTTAAATCACCTTATTGTGTTAGGCAAGGAGAAAAATTGATTCAGGCTGAGTGTTAGATTTTTTTTTATTTGTGCTTTATTATAAGTGGAGGGGAATAAGGTAAAATTAACGTTACTCATGAATC